AAATAATCTATGGATGAATGGATAAAGAAGATGTGGTATGTGTGTCTGTGTGTATATATATATACACACATACACATCCATACATACACACACAATGGAATATTATTCAGCCATGAGAAAGAAGCAAATCCTGACAACATAGATGAACCTGGAGGACATTATGCTAAGTGAAATAAACCAGACAAATATTATATGATCTCACTTTGATGTAGAATTTAATGAAATTAAAAAGTCAAACTCACAGCAGCAGCAAACAGAGTAGGTGATTACTAGGGGCTGGTGGGGAATGGGAGACAGGGAGATGTTGGTCAAAGGGTATAAAATTGCAGTTATGCAGGATAAATAAATCTAGAGATCTAATATACAGGCATGATAGGGGCGCCTGACTTGCTCAGTTGGTAGAGCACGTGATTCTTGATCTCCAGGTCATAAGTTCAAGCTCCACACCGGGCATGGAGTTTACTTTTAAAAAAAATTCTTAAAAATTAAAAAAAAAATAATATACAGGCATGATGACTATAATAAATAATGCTGTACTGAATACTAAAAATATGCTGAGAGAGTAAATCAGGTAGTCTCACCACAAAAAAAAAAAGATAACTATATGAGAAGGTATATTAGTTAGACTATAGTAACCATTTCACTATATGTACACCAAATCACAGTGTATACCTTAAATATATATAATTGACGTGTGTTTGTATACAGAATGCCCTGCAGGAACTCTGAGCCCAGAGGGTCTTAAAAAAAAAAAAAAAAAAGAAAGAAAGAAATTTCAAAACTCATGACACCAAAAAAAGTCCAAATTTTTATAATGATGGTATAATGATAAAGTCCTTGTTCTAAGAAATAATGAAGTATTTAGTGATTAAGGGACACGGTATCTGCGACTTATCTAAAATGGTCTGCAACTTATGTAAAATGGTTCAGAAAAAATTTGAGTGTGCATATAAATAGGGAGAATGCTAAAGCAAATATAGACAACTGGTATATCTAGGGGCAATTGGGTGGCTCAGTCGGTTGAGCGGCTGCCTTCAGCTCAGGTCATGATCTCAGAATCCTGGGATCGAGCCCCACATGGGGTTCCCTGCTCAGCGAGGAGCCTGCTTCTCTCTTTCCTCACCCACCTGCCTCCTGCCCCCCACTGGTGCTCTCTCTCACTCTTCTCTCGAGTAAATAAAATCTTAAAAAAAAAAAAAAAGTTAAAATAAACAATTGGTATATCTTAAAGACTATCCAGAAGTTCCTTGCACTATTTCTGAAACTTGAAAAAAATTATATCACATATATATTAGTTAATAATGTACCATTATTATTAATACATTATATTATATAATATATATGTTGTATTATATATTAATACATTAGTTAATATTATTTAATTCATAATTACTTATTAAATATTATTTATTTGAAATCTGCTAAAAGAGTAGATACCAAGGGTTCACAGCTCCAAAACAAACGGTAACCATGAAAGGTAATGAAAACGTTCATTAGTTTAACTGTGAGAATCATTTCACAATGTATACATGTATCAAAGAGTAAAACATCATGCTGTACATCTTACATGGATACAATTTTTGTCAAAAATCATAAAAATAAGTTATACCAAAATAAAAACTTAACCCCTCTCCCTGGCAAAAAAAAAAAATAAGGCAAAAGAATTGCCTTGATTAGATACTGGACAGCACATTCTTTTTTTTTTTTTTTTTTAAAGATTTTATTTATTTATTTGACAGATCACAAGTAGGCAGAGAGGCAGGCAGAGAGAGAGAGAGGAAGGAAAGCAGGCTCCCTGCTGAGCAGAGAGCCCGATGTGGGGCTCAATCCCAGAACCTTGGGATCATGACCTGAGCCGAAAGTAGAGGCTTTAACCCACTGAGCCACCCCGGCACCCCTGGACAGCACATTCTTGAAATAAGATGAAACATAAGAGAAAACACAGTCAAGGGTTTACATTTTAAGTTATTGTTCATTTTATACTTCACTTCATACTCCATGGAGCTTTGATTAAAACAGTAACTACCTTTACTTGAATTTTTCATATACATACACACCCATAAGTTTAGATGGATGCTATACATATTTTTTATACATATACAGATGTATATGTGTGTAAATACATGTAAATATAAAATGCCAGATGTAGAAAAGAAAAACAGAGAGATTAAGAGTGGGGCTCTGAACTCCTATACAGGCAAGTCTAAATCCCAGCACCATCACTGATAAGCTGGCTAATCTTGGGCAAGACAATAAACCGCTCTGTGCCTGAATCTCCTCATTTTTAAAATGCAGACAATAGGGGCACCTGAGTGGCTCAGTTTGTTAAGCATCTGCCCTCGGCTCAGGTTATGATCTCAGGGTCCTGGGAGGGAGCCCCCATCAGGCTCCCTGATCAGCTAGGAGTCTGCTTCTCCCTCTGCCCTGCCCCCCTTCCTTCCCCCTCCTTGTGCTCTCTCTCTTTCCAATAAATAATTCTAAAAAAAATTTTTTTTAAAAGATTCTCTTTAAAATGTAGACAATAATAGTTTCTAATCTAAGATTCTTATGGGGGCGCTTGGGTGGCACAGTCAGTACGGCATGCAACTCTTGATTTTGGGGTCATGAGTTTGAGCCCCACACTGGGTTTAGAGACTACTTAAAAATTAAAAAAAAATCTTACAATTCTTGTGAAGATTTCAAAGGACAACACATGTAAAGAGCTTAGCACATTTAGCAATGAGAGTTGTTATTATTTCACTGGTTTCCGAAACTAGTACCAAAAGAAAATGATTCTCTACCTAAAAGATAATAAATGAAATACCAAATGTCTTGAGATTGCAGTTACAAACTACTTCATACCAGTCAGAAAGAAAGGGAAAAAAAAGCCGAGTCAAAGGGGACCAGACCAGAATGTTTAAATTAAAATTTAAACAAAAATAAAAAATTAAACAAAATAAAAAATTAAAAATTTAAACAAAACAAAATTCCTCTTTACAACTAGATTACAGATGTCAAAACATTTTGAGAACAATGTAGTAAGAATGATCGATTTTTTTTTTTTTTAAGAGAAAGAAAGAGAGCACGTGCAGGACACAGGGGTTGGGGGGAAGCAGAGGGAGAATCTTAAGCAGGCTCCACATCCAGCACAGAGCCCCACAGGCTGATCTCATGACCCTGAGAAAATTATCTTTATTTGAAAGTTCCTTTGATCCTGCTTAGTTTCCTCAAATTTATATTCAATAGGTGAGATTTACAGGGTTTTTGTTTACAAATTTCTTTTAAAAGCATCCTTACCGCCTGTTTAAATTTCCGAAAGGAAAAACTACCCGACCACATGGACTCTGCAACCATTTGTAAAAGTTCCAGTTAACAGGAGCGCCTGGGTGGCTCGGTCAGTTGAACATCCACTCTTGGTTTCAGCTCAGGTCATGATCTCATGTGTCCGTTGTGAGATCGAGCCCAAAATTGGGCTCCAGGCTTGACGAGGAGTCTGTTTGAAGATTCTCTCCCTCTGCCCCTCCCCTCCTCCTGCATACGTGCACACATGCACACACATGCATGCACACATGCACACACATGCACACACACACACATTCTCTCTCTCTCTCTTAGGAAAAATAAATCTTTAAAAAAAAAAAGAGTGGTGGTTAACGGAATTTTATTTAGTAATTAAGGTACTGAAGGTGAATAATAAATTATGTCATTTATCAGAACTTATAAACTCAAATGCCTACATAGGCCAGGCATCAGAAACAATCACATAAAATCAATAGGGAAGAACTAAGACCCACAGAGACTAAAGAGCAAAGTACTCACCAAAACGCATTCAAACTCAAGTTTTGTTTTGTTTTTTAAACATTGTGACATATGTGTTCAGGCTGTTTTCACCACTTAATTTCAGATACAAAGTCCTTAGGACCTTTATGATACACATTTGTATGCAAACTTGATGTTTCATAAAAGATACTAACAAAATGGATTATTTCTGAAAATATTCATGCACATCAAAAACATCACGAAATGTTTCAATGACTTCAGAAAGGCAGTTTTATCTTTAAAGATATCCTAAATGGGTTACCTCTCCCTCTTTGTGCTCACAATTCAGATACACTTTCATACGTCATAATACATAATCTTTAAGGTACCTTACAACTCTGACATTTTACGATACCATGATTATTAAACAAAATTCCTTCCAGCTGGTGAAACATGCGTACCTATGAAATAATTTAATTACTACCAAAACATCTGAAAATTGCTATATTCACTCATCACTGAAATGTTTGGCCTAAATATTTTTAATGAAAATTAATACTCAATTTGCATTTTTGACATGGTATTGATACTTTATCCCATTTAAATACCTGTCACCAATGTTTTTATAAAGTTTTTTGAAATAAAATACCAATCCCACCTTTATTAAAGTCTTTGAGATGTTCTCCAGTAAGTATACTAGGAAAAGAACGTACATTTAAGTGAACAATACCCAGTATCTCCAAGGTCCAAAGTAATCTCTCTTTTCCACTGGATTCCCTAGCACTTGCATCACCATTTTATACTATAATCATATTTTGTATATTTTATCTTCTATAATATGCTTTAAATTATGTAATGGCAGAAAGCCTATCTTTATATTTTATCTGCATCAAAAAGCATTTAGTACTTGTACAGAAGTGCTCGTAAAAAAAAAAATCCATTTCTCAAGAAAATGATGATCTCAAGTTAAGCTCTTTCAAATTCTGAAATGAACTGTTTTTTTACAAAATTCAGAGAAGTTCTCAATATCTGTAGCTGGCTAATATTTAAGCAAATTTTGAGGTAGATAAATATTACAATAACTCCTCCTCTCCCTCAGCCCCTCCCCACTCTCCACCCCGCCATGCTCTCTTTCTCCTCAAATAAATAAAATCTTAAAAAAAAAAACAAAAAACTTAAGCTTAGGCTTAGTTTTAAGCCTTTATTTGAGAGGAAGATGCTATGTTTTTAGAAAATATTATTTAACAATCATCAAATCTTACCTGAGGATTCCAACCTGGATCTAATTTCTTAACTACAGCAATATACTCCCGCATTGCTTGACTGGGGCTTGAATCACCAAGTGCTTTCCATGCTTCCCTACAGTAAAGAATATCCAAAATGACCTATCATTATCTATGGAAGTAACACAAATGGCACATTCCTTTTTAGTATTAAAACTGGCATGCAAATGTCCACAACAGTCAAACTATGGAAAGAACCTAGATGTCCATCAAGAGATGAATGGATAGGGGCGCCTGGGTGGCTCAGTGGGTTAAAGCCTCTGCCTTCGGCTCAGGTCATGATCCCAGAGTCCTGGGATCGAGCCCCACATCGGGCTCTCTGCTCAGCGGGGAGCCTGCTTCCTCCTCTCTCTCTGCCTGCCTCTCTGCCTACTTGTGATCTCTGTCTGTCAAATAAATAAATAAAATCTTAAAAAAAAAAAAAGAGATGAATGGATAAAGAGGATGTGATATATACATATACAACGGAATACTATGCAGCCATCAAAAGAAATAAAATCTTGCCATTTGTGACAATGTGGATGGAACTAGAGGGTGTTATGTTTAGCAAAATAAGTCAATCGGAGAAAGACAATTATCATATGATCTCCCTGATACGAGAAAGTTGAGAGGCAACGTGGGGAGTTTGGGGAGGTAGGAAAGGAATAAATGAAACAAGATGGGATCGGGAGGGAGACAAACCATAAGAGACTCTTAATCTCACAAAACAAACTGAGGGTTGCCGGGGGTAAGGGGGTAGGGAGAGGGTAGTGGGGTTATGGACATTGGGGAGGGTATGTGCTATGGTGAGTGCTGTGACGTGTGTAAACCTGGCGATTCACAGACCCGTACCCCTGGGACTAATAGTACATTATATGTTTTTAAAAAAATTTAAAAATCCAAAAAACAAAAACTGGCATGCACATTTTAAGGATGTGAGATATAGATAGAAGAAGCCATAGACGAGTAACTCTCTTTTTGCATTCACAATGGTCTATACCAACACACATTACACCCCACGACCTAAGGAGCCTTTTTAGACATTTTTTCCCCTAATCACCCTCCCCCATGAAATTTTATAACACAGATATGTTGCATATTGAATGAATTTTATTTTATTTTATTATTTTTTTTAATATTTTTATTTATTTATTTGACAGACAGGGATCACAAGTAGGCAGAGAGGCAGGCAGAGAGAGAGGGAGGAAGCAGGCTCCACGCTGAGCAGAGAGCCCGATGCAGGGCTCGATCCCACCACCCTGGGATCATGACCTGAGCCGAAGGCAGAGGCTTTAACCCACTGAGCCACCCAGGTGCCCCTGCATATTGAATGAATTTTAGAAGACCACAAACAACTGTAATATCCAAGATTTTATAACTCCCCAAACCCACCTTTCATCCCTACTGAGAATGTATGATCTACAGACCAATAAAAGTAGTTTCCACCTTATACAGCATTTTGGTAACATGGGAACTAATCACACAAAACAATATTCCTTGGGAAAATACTTTGAACTTCGAATTTAAGCTGGGAGAAATATACCTTCCCCTCTTGTTGTTATCTCATCTATAAGGTGCTGGTAGTGGCTCCCCACACAGGGACTTCAAAAAGTGAGGGGTGGTAAGGACAGAGGTAAGAATTCTAATTAGTAAGAAGGTAGGGACTACTTGCAGGATAAATATCAAGAGTAATATTTTAGTCCTGTGCCCCCTTCTGAGTCATCCTTTTCTTTTTTTTTCTGCAAGCTGCCTAGATAGGCTCCTTCTTGGTCTTGTCCTGCCAATTCTTTCTACTTTCGCCCAGGAAGTAGATCCACTGATTCACTGTAAAATATAATTCAGTGCCAAGGTTTTTTCACTACCTTCCTGCTCCCACAATGAATATAACATCTTTTTGGGCTTTTCCAAGTTTATTTTTACTGATCCTCTTTAGAGTTACCTGTGTACATCCTAACATCTACACCTAAATATATCAGCATATATCAAATGGGAAATTTAACATCAATATTATTATATAAACATAGATGACCTTCACGTTTCCCTGATTTTCCACTAATGTCCTTTGTAGATTTCTTCTCCCAGACCAGAAGCCAATCAAGATTCACACACAGCGTTGAGTTCTGTGTATCTTTAGCCTTTTTTGTCTTCCATGATACTGATATTTTTTTAAGAGTCCAAACCAGTTTTATAAGATATCTCTCAATTTGGATTTGTCTGTTTCCTCACCTACACGGTGTTCCTCCCAAAAAATGGATAATCATGATTAGAGTCAGCTTAAAGGTTTTGGCAAAAGCAATATGCAAGTGACAAGTCCTTCACAACGTATCCCATTGGCGGCACAGGACATCACTTTGTCCCACCCATCACCAAAGATAAGATTAAGGACTTGATAGAAGCAGTTTCTCCTGTCATCTTCCCTGTAATTAAAAAGTCAACTGAGGGTCAGATAGTGTATATGCTCCTCAGTAGTTTTTTATCTAATGGTTTTAGCATCCCCTGATGATTCCTGCCTGAATTATTATAGTGGTTGTAAAATCAAAACTTCAAAATTGCTAAAAAACAATGTTAAAACAGGAAAGCACAGTGGAAAAAGTAATGCTGAAGTTATGAAATTTCAGAAATTAAAACCAAAAAAAACCACAATAAAAGTTGCATCAGGTATTCTCCACAACAGTAATAAAGTGTCAGAGACCTATTGGTTATCATCAGCAGAGAGTTCTGCCAGAACGGAACTCAAAGCACTGCTTTCTTCACGGAGAAGGTCCTACACACACAAAAAGTCAGCTGAACTAAACATGGGCTTAATGACGTAACTGATTCACACTCAAGTTCAAGCTGTGCGTCTCTTTACAGCTGGGTAGCAAACAGTTCGTAGACAGGCAACTTGTCAGGGGACTGCATCTTGAGTAGCACTGCTTTAGAATGTAAAGTTAGAATCCATTTTTGGCGCTCTTCTCTTCAACCATATTTCATTTTTTTTTAAACCCCACCCTTTATACTTTTAATTCAGGGTTGATGCTTGCAAAGTTCTTCCTCCTATAACTAAGGGTCTCTATTGTATGCATTTTCTCTTTTTTTCACTTAGGGTAAGAGTAAATAAGACATCATATGATAAGGAGGAACCTCTGAATTAGAAGTAAAAAAACTGGGAAGGGATAATCTTTTTATGGATTCAGGGAAGAAGCAGGACTCAGAATCTCCCCCCTCCCACCTTTCTTCCCAAGCAGTTATTATAAGCACTTCACTGTGGTGTGGGGCGGGCAAGGTACAGAAGAGCACTAGAGATAAGATAAAATTGGGGCAGGGGAGAAGAATAATAAGGTGGGGGGGCCCCTGGGTGGCTCAGTGGGTTAAAGCCTCTGCCTTTGGCTCAGGTCATGAGGGTCCTGGGATCGAGCCCCGCATCGGGCTCTCTGCTCGGCGGGGAGCCTGCTTCGCCCTCTCTCTCTGCCTGCCTCTCTGCCTACTTGTGATCTCTGTCTGTCAAATAAATAAATAAAATCTTAAAATACACACACACACACACACACACATACATATATGTATACATACAGAGACACAAAAAAGAATAGTAACAGGGATTTATCCTGTTCTTCTCCCTTCCCATCCTCCTATCCTTTCAAAGATTCCTCCGCAGGGCAGAAGTGGTGATCCATTAGGGGCTGTATGACAGGAGAGGAAGATCTCAAGCAATAGCTCTTACCAACACTCTCTAAGAAGCTAGTCATATGTAAGGAGCATATGTCTGTCATGAACTATGTGTATACCAACATCATGGCATGAGAATCCTTTAGTAGACTTAGCTGAAAGCGGATTCTTTTAATCTCTCTCCCAACTGCATGCTGTTAGCACAGTCTTCAGCAGAGAGATTAATATAAAAATAATTCTTTAATCTGCTCACTACTTTCTAATTCCTAAACACCTAAACCATTTCCAACAACCTCATTAGAGTCCAAGAATTTCTTACCATTTTTGCTTTCCTTCAAAATCAAAGAAGCTTGGTTTAGGAGTATTGCAATTTCCAACTTTGACCTAATTGAAGGGAGGGGAAAAAATACATCAAGAACTTATTTTTCAAAGAACTGCCAGAGAAACTCTTTTTTTTCAAATTTATTTTGTATACTCAGTAACTACAGGTTAGAAAATATTTGCATCTATATAGAATAACAAAATTTAACATTCTTTGCAAAAGCAAACAAAAGAACAAATTTTAAATACAAGCTGCGTTGGCTTACTGTATAAAATCACTGTTGTCTAATTCTGTGATACATAAAAAACTATGAGTGAAAACACTTGCACTCCTAAACTAGTAGGCAAATTATATATAAAAGGCAAATTATAAATACAAATTATGTAATCCTTATTACCACTTATCATATAAAAGAATTTTCAAACATGCAACAAACAAGCTTTAAAGTACAGTTTATCAGAATTCATAATATTGTTTAGCCTCATTCTAATTACACTATCAGCATTTTACCTCTCCCAAATTCCAGGAAAATGCATACTCTTAGTAAAGTATCCTATTATGAAACTAATTGATATAAATATAGATGCTGATAGCCTTGCAAAAACTTTCAAGGGTTTTTCAACAATATAAATTCTATCTACTCCACAATAATCTTTTCTTGTTTGTCAATACTTATTTGTAACCCTCAAATGACATTTGTAGTGAAACTACATATTTTCACTCTGAGTAAACATAAATGAAATTCACATAAGTGCAGAATTCACTATCCAGCCCCCGATTCTCAACGCCAAAAATAATCTCTTTCTGATGACCTCTCACAGCATTTACTCCTATGCCTCGGACAGCACTTTCCACTTTTACCTGGTGTTACAAGGTTTTTTGTAAAGTCTCTTCTTTCTATCAGAACACAGCCTCTAGGAAACCATTCTTTTTTTTTTTTTTTTTAAAGATTTTATTTATTTATTTGAGAGAGAGACAGTGAGAGAGAGCATGAGTGAGGAGAAGGGCAGAGAGAGAAGCAGACTCCCCGTGGAGCTGGGAGCCCGATGCGGGACTCGATCCTGGGACTCTGGGATCATGACCTGGGCCGAAGGCAGTTGTCCAACCAACTGAGCCACCCAGGCGTCCCTAGGAAACCATTCTTAACTCACTCACTGCACCTTATATAGAGCCTATCCAACAGTAGAAAATGTTTTTTGAATGTGAAATGAGTATGTTAGGCATGTGTTCAACCAAATACTTATTTTTCCTAATACCACAATCGAACCCCCATCTACTCCTCAGAGACCCTCTCGCCATCTACTAATTTCATACACTTGAATTTTGCTAAAATCAACTGATGCTCTACTTGCTAATCAGACTGATCTACACACTGCTTTAAGGATTTTTATCCTGAGTTTCTCTCCCGTTACCGCCCTTGCCTGAAATGCCCTCTCCTCTTCCTTCAGCTTTTCACACCTTTCAGTCTCACTCAAAGTTCAGACTCTAAAAACCCTTTCAGTCACAATGATCTCATCCATCTCTGAATTCATTACAAGTATCATCTCCATCAATTGCTTAGCAATTAATCACATGGCCCTCTGATGAATATTAAAATGTTCACTTATACAGAAGCAGCCCTATTATAAGGGGACCAAGGGAAGAAACAGTGAGAGAACAGAAATTGCATTTCTTGATCACTATAAACCAAAAGCTTCATATATGCTATGGCAAATGAGCCATACAACAATCTTGTTAGGTCTGCCATTCCAAACTTATTTTACAAATGAGTACAGAGAACCTGAGGAGGGTTGTCTGAGCTCACGCATTAGCAAATCCCGAATTAATAGTCAGGATGTGAATTTAGAACTGTCTGACTCCAAAGTCCAATATTCCTTTTCCATAGCACTCTGTTTTACATGCCACATTGAATCTAGGCTTCAGTTCTGGCATCTCCAAAATCACTTCAATTACTAGATTGCTAGAAACATGAGAGAAAGGGTGCCTCGGTGGCTGTTAGTTAAGCATCTGCCTTTGGCTCAGGTCATGATCTTAGGGTCCTGGGATTGAGCATCATGTTGGGTTCCCAGCTCATCAGGGAGTCTTCTCCCTCTGTCTCTCCCCGCCCCCTTGTGCTCTCTTTCTCAAATAAATAAAATCTTTAAAAAGAAAGAAAGATGAAACTATGATACATCATAAAAACAGCAGTCATTACTATTTCTGTTTTTTTTTTTTAATTTTTTTTTTTAAGATTTTATTTATTTACTTGACAGGGAGAGATCACAAGTAGACAGAGAGGCAGGCAGAGAGAGAGAGAGAGAGGGAAGCAGGCTCCCTGCTGAGCAGAGAGCCCGATGCGGGACTCGATCCCAGGACCCTGAGATCATGACCTGAGCTGAAGGCAGCGGCTTAACCCACTAAGCCACCCAGGTGCCCACTATTTCTGTTTTTTATCCAGACACCAGCCAATGGCAGAAACAAATACCAATATCTGTTCTCCATTTCTCCTACAGTAATGGAAGTCTCAGCCAGACACACGGTCCTCCAGCTAAACTTATGTGACTATGCAACTTGCGCCCAGGTTCAGGGGACTGGGTATGTGTGAAAGTGGTATAAACATCTTCCTTAAAAAGAAAAGGGGGGGCACGTGGGTGGCTTAGTCAGTTAAGTGTCTGCCTTCAGCTCAGGTCATGATCCCGGAGTCCCAGGATCAAACCCCACATGGGGCTCCCTGCTCAGTGGGGAATCTACTTCTCCCTCTGCCATTCACCCTGCTTGTGCTCTCTCTTGCTCTCAAATTAATAAATAAAATCTTTTTTTAAAAAAGGGGGGAGGATTGGGGGCTTGTCTTTCCTTTCCCTGAGCCCTGACTAGAACATGCATGCAGTGATGGTGAGCCATCTCTGGTCACGCAAAGAGGATCCGAAGCAAACAGTTCTCAAACTTTCTGGTCTCATGATCCCTTTACATTCTTAAAAAATGAGGACCCCCAAGGAGCTTTGTTTATGTGGGTTATATCTATCAATATGTACCATATGAAAAATTAAAAGACATTTTAAAATATGTATTAACTCATTTAAAAATAATAAACTCGGGCAACCCTCTCAGTCCCCTCCCTCTTCTGGAGCTTTGTACTATTGCTCAATAAAGTTCACTAACGCTCAATAAAAAGTAAAATAAAAACAATAACTCATCAAGTTAATATAAGTAACAATTTTATAAAAATAACTATATTCTAAAGCACAAAAAACTCAGTGAGAAAAGTGACATTGTTGTACACTCTGCAGATCTCTTTAATGTCTGCCTTAATAGAAGGCAGTTATATTCTCATATCCACTTTTATATTCAATCTATCGCAATATGTTGCTTTGGTTGAAGTATATAAAGAAAATGCTCACACAGATATGCTATTACAAAAGAAAGAGGTATTTTAGTAGCCTTTTCAGATAACTGTGGATATTCTTCTCTGATACAAGTAGCAGTTTCTTTAAGACTGGATGCAATGTGGACTCTGATGTCATATCAATGAGTTTTTCTTACCGTTACACTAAAATCCATTGGTCTGACTTGCAATTTGAATGGCTCTTTTACTCAGACATAATCTATAACATTCCACACAACATTTGGAAAATAGGACTCACTGAGTTATGCATTCCTCCCAAATGTTGACACACTGTACAAGAGAAGTTTACAATCATTAAAATCACCACCAATCTCATCAAAAAAGTTCTTAAATATTAGGCAGCTGTCAGGTTCATGTGACAGACACAGATTTTCCAAACCTCTCATTTTCACTTGAAGGCTCAAATGTGACCACTGGCAACAAGTACTGTCAGCTGTTTTCCTTAAAGCAACAGGCTCACTTCATTCACTTTGAAGAGACCATCTGCCAAATACTCAAATTTGAATAAGCATAGTTAATCTGTGAGTTGTTTTATTAAGGAAAAATGATGTTTCATGAAAAATGTGGATAGCTCAGTTTGCAACTCAAAAATTACACAAGTGCTTTGGGGCACCTGGGTGGCTCAGTGGGTTAAGCCTCTGCCTTCGGCTCAGGTCGTGATCTCAGGGTCCTGGGATCGAGCCCCACATCGGGCTCTCTGCTCAGCAGGGAGCCTGCTTTCCCCTCTTTCTCTGCCTGCCTCTCTGTCTACTTGTGATCTCTCTCTCTCTCTCGCTCTGTCAAATAAATAAATAAAATCTTAAAAAAAAAAAATTACACAAGTGCTTTTCCTCAGTATAGCCAATATAATTCAGTGTGGATAACTGCCTTGCACGTACTCCCCATTTCATCACACACAATATTAAAAAGACTTGTACTCAAGAGTTAATATTTAATAGAAATCAATAATTTTTACCAATTTATCACAGACATTTTTAAGTGAAATTGTTTTTTTGGTTGTTTTTTTTTTACTCTGAGTATATGGTGGTGAAATAGATGATGACTAGTACAGTTTGCTTGCCACTGTCTTGATTCATGCTGATGCATCAACAGTTTTATCAAAGAGAAAAAAGGCAAATACTGTCCCAGTATTATTATGTCTAGTATTATTATTTGATCTTATAGATTTCCTAAGAAAGTCTCAGGGATTCTCAGGGGTCTCTAGTCCACAGTTTGAGAACTGCTGCCTTCAGGGAATGCCTACAGGACAGAAAAAGACTGAGCCCCTGGATGACCTCATGAAGCAGAATCACTGTACCAGCCTTAGGTCACCTACCTCCAGACCACTATATGTGATGAAAATAAAAGCTCAGCAGCTGACCCTGTATTCTAACTGACACAGAAGCTTCTGCATTCCCATATTCAAACAATAGTTCTGGATCAGCAAAGACTGGATAAATACAACTACAGGATTTTAGGATATGATGAGTAACAGTTTCCAAATCATTAACGAATCATAAGCTATAAAGCAGAGTTCTAAAATGTGCCACTTTAACAAAACACCTAAACCCTGTCCTGATATATATATGATATAGCCAATGCCCTTCAAACAGAATGTTTTAACAAAGGGGGCTAATGGCAAATGCCAGTGAATCAATCATGTGTGGCCAGGTTAAAGTAGAACATGTTGGGTATCCTTGCTGTGCTAAAGCTGAAGGCTCCTGTAAAACGAAGCTAACAGGGGTTTGAAATGTTCATTGTCCTAGAGTTTTCACAGGTGTCAGATAGTTATCTTTTGCTGTGAAAGTGTAGGCTAATGCAGAGGACCAAAAAACCGTTCACTGGTGTGATGTTTTTGAAACCATCAAAAGATGATTTTGGAGCCACAGGCTTATCCGAGACTGAAAGAGCTATGATGTTAGGTAAATTTAGGGCTCTGCCTAAGAAAAGAAAGTCCACAGCTCACCTTATTTTTATTATCTTCCTGGGGACAACTTTATTTCATCCGGCTTCCAAAATACAGTGCTACTCTGAATACAAAATGTAATTGTTTCATGAGAAATTCTGGTCCACCATGCATCAATTATATTGGAATTTCAACCTTATCATCCTATCAAAGATGCTATTTTTTAAAATTTTATTTATGTATTTGACAGAGAGAGAGCGCAAGTACAAGCAGGGGGAGCAGCAGGAGGAGAAGCAGGATCCCCACTAAGCACGGAGCCTAATGCGGGTCTCGATCCCAGGACCCTGGGATCATGACCCGAGCTGAAGGCATGACCCTGGGATCATGACTGAGCCACCCAGGCACCCCAAATACGCTATTTTTAACACTATCTCAGAATTCTACTAAAAATAAAATATTGAGGGGCGTGTGGGTGGCTCAATGGGTTAAGCCTCTTCCTTGGCTGCGGTCATGATCTCAGGGTCCTGGGATCGAGCCCCACATCGGGCTCTCTCCTCGGCAGGGAGCCTGCTTCCCCCGGCTTCTCTCTCTCTGCCTGCCTCTCTGCCTACTTGTGATCTCTGTCAAATGAATAAATAAAATCTTTTTAAAAATAAATGAATAAATAAAATATTGAGGAGGGCCTGGGTGTCTCAATCAGTTAAGTATCCGACTCAGGTTCAGCTCAGGTCATGATGGGGGCGGGGGGCAGCGAGGCCATGAGATGGAGCCCCGCCTCAGGCTCCACACTGGGCATAGAGCCTGATTAGGATTCTCTCTCCCTCTCAAACAAAAAAAAAAAAAAAAGAAAAGAAAAAGAAAAAATTAGAAGAGATTGATAAAAATTGTGTCCCAATGTCATATCTAAGAAAGCATAATCTTATTCTGTAACAACAAAGAATTTTATTTCTGGATACAGAATATTTCTAAATACCTTAACAACGAGTTCTTGAAAGGGTGAGGGACATACCTCTTCCAGAATTATCTGGATGAAGTGAGGATACATGAGACAGAATGATTACCAGTTGACAGTGACTAGAGTTCACTGATAACTCAGAAATCAGATATTAATAATGATGACACACTATTATCAGTAAGTAAAATTATGTCCTCAAAAGAAAAAGAATGTTCTCTAGGGAATTTGGAGACAAATGGTCTAACGCTGCCCAGAGAATTATTAGCCAGACATGTTAAAGGTCCTAGCACAATGTTCAATAAACTCTTGTTAAATAACTGAAAGTTTCATTTTAATGTTATTGGGACAGGAAAAATAACCAAAGAGAAAAAAAGATATCCAGAACTTCTGCAAGAAAGCAAATTCCAAGGCCAATTCAGGGGCGGTTTTCAATCAACACTGTAATTTGTACCCTATATATCCATAGCTATGTCTCTCAAGTCCCTTTAACCAGTATTCATAACTGAAATTCATCAGTCTTCAAAAGAAGGTTCATCTCTATTCAGTATATATTCAGTTGAAGAATACAGAGGGACCCTACAACTTTTTTTTTTTTTTTTTTAAAGAATATAGGAGAAGGGGCACCTGGGTGGCTCAGTGGGTCAAGCCTCTGCCTTCAGCTCGGGTCATGATCCCAGGGTCCTGGGATCGAGCCGCACATCGGGCTCTCTGCTCGGCGGGGAGCCTCCTTCCCCCTCTCTCCCTGCCTGCCTCTCTGCCTACTTGTGATCTCTGTCAAATAAATAAAATCTTAAAAAAAAAAAAAAAAAAAAAAGAATACAGGAGGAAACAGATACCAAGAAGCAAAAGAAAGGTTAAAATTTTTTGGTAAAATAAAATGGACTATTCCCCAGAACATCTTTGTTTCCAGTGTTCCAAAGAGGAGTTTTCCTAAAATGTTACTTAACTCTTGTTAGCAATTTTTCACGTGTTTAAATCTAGACTCAAGAAACTTTCCAAGACTCTCGAAGGCAAATACCATGATGCTTTTTCTTCTTTGCACTCGCGGCAGGCGTAACACCCAAGTGTTTTGCACAGAAAAGATGTTATACAAGTACTGGTATATTAAAATAAAGCAATTATTTCTCCTTCTGGTACCTTCAACTCTTTGAATGATAAATTAAACATGTCTTAAACGACATTACGATTATGAAGTTCAGAGCTTTAGAGTCAGGAGCTACAATCTAGTTCCAGTTCTAACTGATTTGTCTGTATGACCCTAGGAAGTTATCTACTCTCTTTGGGTTTCCCTTTTCTTTCCAGCCAAAGAAGGGGATTATTTCACCTGGTGTTTACTAGCTCTAAACAGTATCTTTATAATAGCATCTAACAGTCAGAAGCCCATCCAATCAAAACATAAGTCTAATATATTTAGGATTTTAAAAATACAATGACAAAATTATAATACCTTATTTTGCATTGCATCACCTTTTTATTACGATCATATAATTCTCCTGGATCTCACAATTTTCTTTAACATTACTTCCATATGACCATATTACTTCCATAATTACCTCCATATGACCCTTCAGCAAGACTGAATGAAAAATCTTATTTTGTCATCCTCATTTTGTAAAGGTTCTGAAGCTGGTAAAACCATAAGTGCAAGGTCACTGTGCAAGTCAAAGAAGACATGGAAAGCTGTCATTCGGTGTCCAGCCAAATACCACTTCCAGGATAGCAGACAGGCCCTTTCCATATTCAGGATTCTAATCCTTAGCAGATGATTATACACACACACACGCAAACTTCATTGCACCTAGCCATCAACCAAGCACGGTTAACTATTCCATTTTGGAGGACACAGAAGGCCTCTGGCCGCTCTCCCGCATCCACCCCTTCCCCAGGATTTTACCTGCTTGTACCTGGCGTACAGGTACAAGAGCTGCTCCCTGCTGGCCACCTGGACCAGGCCTTGGAGGTGCGCTGCAGCCTTCTCAAAGAGCTCTGTCAGACTCCCGGACGCCTCGGTCTCGGGACTCTGGAGGGATTCCACATCACCGGAGTCGTCCCCCGAGCTCAGCTCTCCGCCGCTGTCGCCCGTGGTAGCCCCCGCGGGCAGGAATGGCGAGGCCATGTGTCCTCGCTCGGTCCGTCCCTCTGTGTCCGCTCAGTGCTCCTCGGAGGGAGGGTAACGCCGGCTCCCGGGCCTGGCCCACCAGTCTCGGTCGAGAGCCCGACCTCGAGTCGGACCCAAGCTCACTTACTCCGCGCGGCCTCGCGTAACTGTGCCTCCCTCACACCTCTCTCCCGGGCGCGCAGGGCACCCGCGGCGGCTCGCCCCCGGACGAGCCGGTCTCCTCCGCCTGCCTCTGGCTAACCGAGTGCTCGGGCCCGACCCAGGTTCCTCCACCCGCGAGGCGGTGGGTCGGGGGTCGGAGCGCGGCTGGCGGCTCGGGCGGCCGGGGCGGGCCGGGAAGGGGGCGGCGTGCGCGCGGGGCGGGACGGAGGCGGCGTGCACGCGGGGCGGGGCGGGGCGAGGCGGCGTGCACGCGGGGCGGGGAGGGGCGGGGCGAGGCGGCGTACGCGCCTGAGCACGCGTCCGAGCACGCGCACGAGGTGAGGCCTGGCGGAAGCTCCGCGGTGGGCGGGCGAGCGTGGGCGGGCGAGCGTGGGCGGGCGGGGCGCCCTCCTCTAGGAGAACTCGCGGGGTCGCTTTAGGGAGATGTCGCACGGAGAAACTGTCCTCAGTCGTTGGGATGTCCACTAATCGTTTCGCTGAAATTACCAATCCCTAAGTCTGGAAATTGTTCTCGGAATAGGTCTTCGCGGCGGGAAAGGAGGCCGTCGGTTTGGTAGTGTAACGGTAGGAGCGGAGTCGCGGGAAACACCGAGCTGAGGACGAAGGTTCCGCCTGCGCCCACTCCGCGGATGGTGTGTCCCCGGCGCCCCCAGACTGGCCACGGATCCCTGCCGGCGCGTCTGTTGCTTGAGAGCTTGGTTTTAACTTGAATGATGGGTAAAAATTGGGGAGGTGGGGCCTTCACCGCCCAAGCCTTGTGACTGGTCCGGGTCTGGCTTTGGGCGCCTGAGGAACCCCCCACGTCCGGGCTGTGCGGGGCCGCCCCCGGGCCCCCAGCCGTTAGCACGAGTCTCCTCTGACAGGGCCCCTGCCATTGTGTTTTGAAGACACAAGTGAAACCGAAAAGTCTGATACAGTTCTGCCCTGACGGAACTTAACACAAAACTACCCAAGAACTGCAGCGTGATTGTAATAATTAACTTTCACTTAGCGATGATTATGTCCCGGGTGGTGTAAAACAAAAATGAAAACACTGTGTTCATTTAGTACTCAAAACAGTAATAATTAGCACCATCAGATGGGTACAACGAAAGTGTTCTCAGAAGCGGTTACTGACCCTGTGGGGTTAGACCTGTCTACGGGTGGACGGGGGAGAGAAGGCGAGAAGTGTCAAAAGTTTGGGTCAGGATTCAAGAAACGTTCCTTGAGATTCTAGGATGTCATGGGTCATGGGATGGAGCCCCGAGTTGGGCTGTCGGCTTACCAAGCTCATCAGGGAGCCTGCTCCCCCCTTCCCCACCATGACCCTGCTTGTGCTTTCTCTCACTATCTCCCTTTTTCTCTCTAAATAAAATTTTTTTAAAAATTATACTTTTCTGTATGTACATTATACTTAGATGAAAGGATTAAAAACAACACACAAAAAAGAAAAACAAGAAGAGCCCCTGACATTGGGAAGCTGGCCTGACACAGCTAAGCCATATTATTGTTCCGTTAGAAATAATCTCATGAAATCCCAACCTCGGACAAGGTCATTGTAAAACCATGATAAAACAAGACAAGGCAAATCACTTCATGAATTTGTCTAAACACAGACAAAAACAAGATCACCCTGGCCTACAAAATACTAAACACCCTTTCTCTTGGCCAAAATGAACGGTTACTACTTCTTTACAAATGACAACTTTATTCTCCTATTCGTCATCTCTCCCTATACATAAGATTTATTGAGATGCCCAGTCATGGGATTGCCCTGGCTTTCTGACTGCAACCAATTGAAAACAGATCCCTGCTACCTTAGACTCTCCCTCAAGCACTAACCACCAACCGAAGCCCAAATCCTGTAACAGGTCTTTCCGAACACCTTCTTACAGAGGAAGCCCATAGTTCCCTGTGATATGTATTTTTCCTTGCTGCAACAAGAATTAAATACAACTGGGTTTACTACAGCTGAGTTCTTGGAGGTCTCTAGCTGAAGGGGTTAATACTTGAGAAGGTTTGATTCTCCAAGATTCTATCAAAACTCCAAAACTATCAGGATATGGCAACTTTGAGAGAATAAATCTTTTACAATTGGTGTTTCCATTCAAGCATTTCTTGGGTACTGTAGGGAACTGAATATGTTTTTCTGAATCTCAAGAAAAAAAATCAGCCAAGATATCAGGAAGACAGGAGAAAATATTATAATTAGAATGAAAGTATAACAATCAGTATTAAAGATTAACAACGAATATGGAGAGCTTACTGATTCAAAGGGATACACTGACAAGTCAAAAGCAAGACTGGGAATGCTAACACCTGGACTCCAAAGTGAGGCAGGGAAGGAGTGGACAGGGGAGAAAACTGTTAAGAGCTAATCAGTCTTGCTGGTGGTGGTTGCCTTGGTGTACATGTGCTCATGGCCCCACCTGCTGCTAACGGTGAATCATTCTTGCAAATAAAATAAATAGTAGGGGCACCTGGGTGGCTCAGTGGGTTAAAGCCTCTGCCTTCGGCTTGGGTCATGATCCACATCGGGCTCTGCTCCGCAGGGAGCCTGCTTCCTCCTCTCTCTGCCTGCCTCTCTGCCTACTTCTGATCTCTGTCAAATAAACAAAATATTTTTTTTAAAAATAAATAGTAATAAGATTATATGCATAGTACACTTTACACAAATTCTACAAGTGATGTTCTGAGAAATAAGTTTTGGAGGCAGAGTAAGTCCTTAAACTGGCAATTTCTTTAAGTGATTCTAAGTAATGCTGTTGACTTTGCTAAGAGATCTGAAGGTTATGAGAATACTACCCAACAGTATTTGCTGGTATTTTCCAGTGTTTATATTCACTGCAGGTTACAGTTCTTTGTAAGGACTTTAACAAAAAGAAATGCAAAGAGAAGATTGTAATATACTGCAACACGTATGAACAGACCTAAAATCTGAATTAATGAAAGTCATACCTGTTTCGACGACAAAGCTAAAGTCAGGACATGCAAAGAAAATATTTTTGTTAAAAAAGTAAACGGATTTAGCACAAATCAAGTTTTGTGAACTATTGGCCTTTTTTTACATTACCATCAAAATATTCATTAATTCATCAAAGATATGAAGCCCTGATATGTTTCAGACACAGGGATAAACCCTATGGATAAACAAGAATATCATTCCTCTTCCTCTACTCCAGCCTTGTGGACCCCCTTGTGGCTCTTCTTCCAACCCAGCACCCTCCCACTTCAGTACCTTTGTGCTTACTAGTCCTTCTTTCTGGAACACTCTATCCCCAGATTTCTATACTGTTTGCCCTCACCTCCTTTAGGTCTTTGCTCAATCACTGCATTAGCTGAACTTTCCTTGGTAGCCTTATTAAAAATTGCAATTTCATCCTCCCAACACTCTCTACCCCACTTCTTTAGCACTTATTGCTAACTGGCAATATATTTTATTCATTTGTTATATCATTTCTATATAAATCCCAGGAAAGCAGGGATTTTTGTGTGTTTTTATCACTGCTGTATTCCCCAGAGCTGGCGTGTAGCGAAATCTTTATTGAATAGATAAGTTAGTGAATGTATAAAAGACCCAGTCATTATTCTTTAAGGCCTTGGGTAGTAAATGAATAAAGACAATAATGCATTACTGTGGATGAGTGATATGGAAAGGTCATGCTAGACAGAAGAAATAGCATGAGTAAAGGCACAGGGGTATAAAAATAGCAAGCAATATTGCTTATTTTTACTTGATAATAAGGTTCAGTAAACAAACAGCAGAGGGTAATTAGCTGTTTTTTCTCACCAACACAAGCTAAAAGTTGGAACATATGTTAACCCACTCCTGAATGGAATACCTTGCTTAACAAAGACTGCATTATTTTGCAAATATTTAAAAGAAGAGAGCTCTTATAGCTCAGCGGCTTATTTGTATGTCACTAATCAAATTGGTAGTATTTACCAAGACATAATCTTCTAGGCAACCTATGGTCTTTAATCCAACTCCTTAAGCCCATTAGTGGGATCCTGACATATAAGCAGATAAGCATAGAGAGAGATATTAGACTATATTATCTAATTTGCATAATCTTGAAGTTCATTTGACCACCTTCAAATACAATAACTAGCAGAATTATACTGAACACACACACCAAAAGAAGGACAGAGAAATCAGAACCCTGACTTTGGAGTCTTTATGAAATCTATATAACGAATGAAATTTAATGGAAAAAAGCCCCACATCCTCAAGTTCATGAGAAGTTAGATACTTTCAACTAAAAATTAAGAAAAATGTGATTAATTTTGAGATACCTCCCACCCCAACCTTTATAGAGGCTGTTTGGATGGACTTAACTTTATCTAAGTAACAGATTTCTGGGGAAGTGTTTGTGGGTTTAGAAATTGATTTAATGGTGGAATCTTGTATAATGCTGCTTATCATTATACAGATTCAAATACCAGGGCAAATCACACGCCATAAAGCAAAATAGGATTAAATAATTAAAGCCTACTATACTCTTAGTTATTAGTCCTGAGGAGATTCCACTGTGCTTGATAAAATGAACCATAGACCAGTATAAAAAATCAGCAGACTCAAGTAAGCGGGTAGTAATGGCTCACTTCTGCCCCACAGGTGAAACATTTTGGTTGTTGTTGTTGTTAATTTATTAGCAAGTACATTAATGGTGCTGCAGATTATATATTAGTAAATGTGAAGAAGTTTTAAAATTTCATATTGTTATTTTGACTTGCTGAAAATTAATCAACAATGAACTATTAAATGTTGACTTATTAACATTTTAGGTCATGTAATACAATAAAAAGTCCACAGGCCAGGGAGTCTGCTATCATTCTTACAATCAAATAATTTAAATTTTAGTTGGAGAAATAGGATTAGGACTTGTGAGAAAAATTAGAAAGTTAAATAACACAGGAAAATTACGTACTAAATCTTGTGGTGCACAATAACAATGGGATTTTTTTTAGCTAGATATCCTCTCCATAAAAGTCTTCAGTTGAGCTCTGTTATTTTTCAGAAGGAGCCTTTTAAACATTGAATGACTTGTGTGAAACCTTGTATATTCTGGTGGGTGTCCAAGTGGCTCCACCACACACATCTCCCAATACAGATGTATGTATGTGCGTATGTATGTATCACCTGTTTATT